GGATGTGAAGATAGTATTTCTTCATGAAGATTTGGAGGAAGAGATCTATATGTATCAACCAGTTGGCTTCGAGGAACGAGGCAGGGAGGGTCTCGTATGTCGTCTGCGCAAGAGCTTGTATGGCCTGAAGCAAGCTCCGCGACAGTGGTACATAAAGTTCGAGAACTTTATGGAGGAGAATGGTTTTCTCAAATGCGACACTGACCACTGCTGCTTCACCAAGAGGTATGGTAAATCTTATGTGATACTCTTGATTTATGTTGATAACATGTTAATTGCAGGGCCCGATTTGGCCCGCATTGAGAAACTCAAGGGGTGTCTCTCCGTGTGCTTCGAAAAGATAGATCTGGGTCCAGCAAACTAGATTCTTAGGATGAGGATCATCAGAGACAGATCATCACGTAGGCGGAGGTTGTCTTAGAAGACCTATAGTAAGAAGATTCTTGAAAAGTTTGGCATGGAGAAAGCTAAATGGACGGGTTCGCCGTTTGCGAGCTATTTCAAGCTATCGAAGACCCAAGCACCAGAGACTGTTGAATAGCATGAGTTCATGGCCAATATACCATGTGCATATGCCGTTGGGAGTTTGATGTATGCGATGGTGTGCACGAGGCCAGATATTGCATAAGGAGTGGGAGTTGTGAGCCGCTTCATGAGAAATGTAGGGAAGCACCACTAGGATGAGATCAAATAGCTTCTACACTACTTGAGATGCTCGTCCGACCGTTGTCTTGAGTATGGCGGGGCGGATTTACAGCTAGAGGGCTTTTGTGATGCAGACTACGTCGGGGACATAGACTCAAGAAGGAACATGAGTAGGTACATCTTCATATTGGGTGGTGGAGCGATAAGTTAGAGATCCAAGTTACAGGATATTGTGGCTATGTCAACAACCGAAGCCGGATACGTTTCTGCAACAGAGACAGCAAAGGAGTTACTATGGTTGAAAGATTTTTTTCTCGAGCTTGGGGTAAGCTTTGAGAAATACTTCATCCACTGCGACAGTTAGAGTGCCATTAACTTGTCAGAGAACGACACATTCTATGCTCGGACCAAGCATGTTGACGTGAAGCATCATGCCATACGGAGATGGCAAAGCAGGAACGAGTTCAAGCTTGTAAAGATTGATACAAGATACAATTTAGCCAATATGCTGACCAAACCAGTTCCGCTCAAGAAGGTGAGGTTGTGTGCAACCTCATATGGCCTCCGTTGAGAAAGTTGAGGATCATGCAAGAAGCCAAAGATACAAGACTTCCGAATGATGCAATCAAAAAACAAAGTTCATTGAGAAGACTCTTCAAGTGGGAGATTGTTGATAGAGTGGATAGTCTTCTCTTCAAAGAGTCAGCAGTGTTCACCTACCCCCGTGCTACAGTGTTCACCTACCCCATGAGAAAACTTATAAATAACCCCCTAAGTTTAATTTGTAAGGCATCTCAGTAGTAGAGAGAGAAAGAGAATGATACAGATATAAGTAATATCATTGAGAGATCTTGAGAGAGAGTTTGTGAGAATTCTTGAAGAGTATCTTGATCAAGAGAGAGTGTTCTCTTTTATCTTTTTCCTTTGTAACCTCAAAAGGAATATAAAGGAAAAAGGTGTTGTCGTTGCACCGTGGAGTAGCTCCGTAACAGTGAACCACGTTATATCTGTGAGTACTGTGATTGAATTCGTGTTTGGTGGTTTTATTCTGTGATTCCAAGATCGTTTAGGTGTGTTTTGCATCTCCGTTCGAGACGTTCTTGTTGGCGTGTACCCTAACACAATCTTTTCCCTGAGCATGTAATAATGTGTTGGTGCTGGTTGTACATGCAAAGGATGCTCTCGTTTCAACTGTGTTCTTATTAATCAGTGCCGGCCTTAAGCTAGAGCCACCAGGGCTACAGCCCGGGGCCCACAGCTGAGGGGGCATAATATTTCGGAGAAAGAATAGCAAGATAAAAGAATAAAAAACATTAAAGAAGAAATAAGCTCTAATGGCCTTGAAAAACCAAGCCCACCGAACCCCAAAAAACACAACTCCCATCATTTCTCACACCCCAATGTCCCAAAAAACACAACTCCCAACAGTGATTTAACACCACACCGCCCCCTCTCCTCTCTCGTTGGTTGGCACAGTGTCACAGTGAGGTGGACTTGAAAGCACACATATTTTCCTGTCCCCTTAGATCTCTCTCTCTCTCTCTCTCTCTCTCTCTCTCTCTCTCTCAGTCACTTGCTCTGGTTGCTCAAATCCTAGCTCTCCTCTGTGGTTGTCTTTTTTTTATCTTTTCTTTTGATTGCTCTGGGGATTATGGGTTCGTTAGGAGGAGCATCCCTTGAGGTGGTGAAGAGGAAGAAGGCAATGTGGCTTTAGTCAAGTTAAAAGCCCCCGGACCTGGCGACCTTCTTTCTCAGTTCATACATTTGATGCTTATGATGGTTGATATATTTTTTTGTAGCTAGGATGAGGAAAGGCCTAATCTTTGTGTATATTTTGATTTGAGCGCTCTTATTTTGCAGTTTTTGACAAATTTTTGGTTAGTGAGTAACAGTTAATTTCCTTAAAATAGGTAAATTTGATTCTTGAGGTTGGAGATCAAATTGTTATTGCAACTGGCTCCAATTTGTTTTATGGGTTTTGTCATTTCTTTCGGGGTCAAAACATGCCCTATCTCGTGATACTAAGTTGTAATTTTTGTTAAAAACCAGATCTTTATGCTGTTTTATTATATTGCGCAGGGGGTTTAGGGTTGAAAATTGGACTTTTAATAGGATTTTAAGGTGCCAAAAGGAGATGAGATCAAAAAATTTTATTGTGTCTATTTTGATTTGGGTGTTTTACCTTGTAACTCACAAAATTATTAGGGTATTTTGATTTGGGTGTTTTACCTTGTAACTCACAAAATTATTAGGGTATGTGATTCGTGGGACGTGGTTCTCTTGGGATATTCTATAGTTGATCTTTGTGCTGTTTTGTTATAGTTGTGATTTGAGGTAGAAAATTGGTTTTTTTTAATAATGATGTTTAGGTGACAAAATGAAGAAATAACTATTTTTCTTTTGTCTATATGGATTTGGGTGTTTTTACTTCGCAAAGTTTAGGGTCGAATGATTCATGGGAGATACTTCTCTTGTGGGTTACTGAGTAACACTTGAATTTGTTTCACTAGGTAATTTGGTTCTTGGTTGGAGATCAAATTGTATGGGGTTTACCATTTAATTAATAACCTTTCGAATACGATAAGAGTGATACATTTTAGGTTTTATGATTCATGGGAGATGTTTCTTTTGGGTTATTTTGGGTTACTGAGTGACGCTTGATAATTTATTTATTTATTTGTTTAATTTGTATAATGGGGCACACTTAGAAAATTTGCCCTGGGCCTTAGAAAACCCAGGACCGGCTCTGTTATTAATGAAGCAAATACAAAGGAGTCTCCGTTCGAGGCGTTCTTGTAGGCGTGTACCCTAACACAATCTTTTCCATGAGCATGTAATACTGTGTTGGTGCTGGTTGTACATGCAAAGGATGCTCTCGTTTCAACTGTGTTCTTATTAATGAAGCAAATACAAGGGAGTTTCTGACCCTCTAGTGTTAGTCGCAGGATCCGGTATCAACAATCCTATAACTGACTAGTTTTAACTAGTATCAAATATCAGACATAATATTGATCGTCGGCCTTCCTTTGTTTAACAAGCAACAAACTAGTCTCGATCCATTAATGATTCCTAGACGCACACGCAACGAAATGCAATTGAACGTAGTCTGGATTAGAAGCCTAGCTGCCGGTTACACCACATATATTATGATCCTAGATTTAAGAGAGATTCAACAGGATATTTGACAACACTTTGTTTCGGCAATATATAAATTCTTTAAAGTTCTCCAATTGGAGAAAAATAAGTCACGAATCTATGGACGTGTTCACTCATAGAAAGAAAGGACCAAAACCTAGGAAAAAAAAGAAGAGTGAGGGAGACGGTGAAACTCGGAAGAAAACATAAGCATATTGCGGAAGCGAGTAAAGATGGCTAGTGAGAACTTCAACAGGGAGCTGTAGAGATCGATACGGGGGTACAACCATAAACACGTGAATGCAAAATGGAGACCGTCCAATTGATCGTCATGTAATAGAACTAACAAGTAAATGAAAACTGAAACAACACTCCTTGATTCAGGTAGACCAAGGCCATTGCTAAAAACATCGATTTCATCTGGTGCGGCTATTATCAAAATGGACATCCAATTGATTGTCATGTAATCTACTTCGGATTTTACTGAAATAAAGATATGCACTCGACAGCACTTCTTCATCCAAGCATCATAAAATCATTAACTAGCCCCAGGATATATTACATATAATTCTAATTTATGCGGAAAGTAGACAATAGGGAATACTATGCTTTGTTGTAGAATGAATGTAATTGAAAAAGAAAATATAAAGTTCAAATATCTTGTGGTGGTCTTCTTTGAAGAGCCTGGTTACAGTTACAAGCCTTCTCAATTCACATCTTAGGTAGTTTCCACTGACGTACATGCGGGCAACTGGGAAAGAAGGCCACAATGAAGGGCATCAAAAAGGCTGGTCAGCGTGTTCGCTTAGAGCAGCCATCCATCTGGACACCATATCTCACCTTAGAGCAGCCATTCATATACCACTGTGAACTCAAGGGATTCTTCTCTCTCGTCCATGTAAATTGTAACACCACACAGTAATACAAACTCCTCAGTGTGACTTGTTGACCTCCCGATCCAAGTACCTCAATTGCACTGTCCATTCTCGGACAAGATCCACAGCAAAAAACCTCTATGATACTTGAAGATCGATATCTTCAAAAGCTAGTCTCAAAGCTGTAACGCTAAAATTTTTAGTGTTCGTGATTATAATATCATCTGTTGCCATCCTAAATCAATACCAAAAGAATGGAAACACTGAAACAATGAACAACCCGGTCTCTCAAAGGCCAAACACTCTACCACCTATTTTCCTTGGCATCTCAAAACAATACTCTTATAAAGAAATGAAAATTCATTTTTTTTTTATTCAAAACCTTACAATTCCACTGCAAGCAAGAATATCTTATTAATTCAATCAATTGGATAAAAGGATAGTACATAAAAGGACAGTACAAGTAAAAAAATTTACGAGAAGAGCCCAAAAGAGGTAAGACCAATTTATCCACGAAATCTGATAACAACAATACTAGCAGCAGCAGCAGTAGCACAGCCGAAAATGTTTGAAGCTTTAACTGGCATCTGATGGTATGTCATCCAAAATATGGCAGTCTAGAATCCGCAGCGACTTCATTTGGGTAACTCATCGGAATGACCATTGAATTTCCTCTAGAGTCCTTCCCTTTGTTTCAGGAACCCAAAAGATCACGAACACTAGGGTAAAAGCACTGACAACCGTATAGATCGTAAAAGTTCCTGTTCAAATGAAAAGCATCATAAACATACAAGAAAATGGGCATATATTTGTATATGTGTGAGAGAGAGTGGGAGTAGTGAGGACCTCCACTGCTCCAACTCAGAAGTAAATTGGCAGTCATCGTGATAACCCAGGAAGTCAACCAGTTGGCAAGAGTTGCTACACTGCCAGCAAGACTCTTGATATTAACAGGGAGAATCTGCATTAACACAATTGAAGTCATGACCCTTAACGAGAATGTCTGTAATTTCAAGTGAAATCTATGCATTTTCTTCTTAAAGTATACTTCTGATACTTGAGAACATGTGTGGAGATCACCATTCACTATGTTCAGGAAAACATCATGAAAATGAAGTACATGAATCCCTAGTCAATTGACTAGTTCTATATATCTAATGCCATGTTCCATGTGTTTTGTTTTTAAGATTCACTCAGGGTGCCGGGGTATCAGGGTCCATTAGGGCGCCGCGCGCCCTGCAAGATCCCCCCCCAAAAAAAAAAAAATAAGGGGGTGGGATTTGAAAAGAAACATATGGTATTATCTTTTGTAATTTTATAATTGTACGGATCAAAGTGGAAGTGTCAAAGATAAAAAAAGACGGAGCTTTTTTTCCTCATCTCTATTCTTTTCTGATCGTGATGGCCTCAGGGTTTACTCCTATCGCGATCATCCTCTCGCAACCCCGAATGCACCGGCCGACATGATCTCCAGCCTCGTCGGCCCTGCTTCACTCTCTCCTCTAGCCTCATCGCTCCTCCTCGGGATCTCAGCCCTTCTCAGCTTATTTTAATCCCATCCGCCCTTCTCCAGGCTCTAGCCGTTTCTAGCGTATCTGCCCTCCTCGAGCCACCTCCAGAGGCACGTGTTTGGCATTCATCCCTTAATCATATTTTGGTTCATTTTCCTATTTCCCCCTTCTATTAAATTGTTTATGTTCTAGGGGTTGACTTGTAACGTGTTTAGCTAATTAGCTTTTTAATTTTGTTCTTCTATTAGTCTACTAATTTTGATTAAAGTTATAGAATTTAGTATTTTTAACTTTTTCTTACTTCTATAATTTTATTGATTTGATTAGGGTTTTAGGGGGTTTAGGATTTCTAACTGCCCCCTTTATGCCTTCTGATTTATTTAACAATAATACACAGTCGCAAGAGAAAATATTGATGCAAATTTTAGCATTACCCAGTTGCATCGTGATATCCAAGTGCAGTAGCAAGAGAAATTGTTGGCGTTTTTGACATGGGACTGGATACATACACACTTTTGAGAATTTAGATCCTTCTCATAATATAGTAGAGATTATAAATCAGAAATTGTTGGCCATTTCTAATTTTTGCATTGGTTGTTTAGTTTTTAGTTTGTATTTTTTGTCACTTGATGAAAAATATTTTGGGCGTTACAAATGACTTGTCACAAGCATTATGAAGGAGAGCCAGGACCTTGCTAATGCTATGAACCTAGTCAAAGTAGTTAAGCAAGGTTGCACAAAATGAGATAAGATGATTGGAATGAATTGTTAGAAGAGAATTGTGATTTTTGTAATTTGCATTGGATAGTAATTCCTGACATGGAAAATGATTTTGTGGTTGGTAGACTAAAAGCGTGGAGCTTAAATGCCTACAAATCTTCAACATTATCAAGTTGAATTGTTCGATACATCTATAGATTTTATCTTCAAGAGTTGAACAACCGTTTTGATAATCGGAACATGAAGTTGCTATCTTGTGAGACATCTCTTCGAAAAGGGACCAGCACCTCAAGTACAAATAAAACACGCCGATAAAAGTAAAAACACCTTATATGTGAACATGGAGTCAAGCATTAAACATAACTACTATTCTAGAACAAAGAAGTCATGTTGAGTTTCCAACCTAACACAAATCAACCAGAATCAGAGCCCCATCAGATATGTGTCCACTTAACTCTCCACTGAACTAATGCCCACTGCTTCCTTCCTTTCCATGACAATCCCCTGCGATCTCTATACCAGTGCTTACCACCCAAATAAGACCAGGTCAACAAAGACTGGGGAAATCATTTCTTGCCAACTCAGAGTTGGCTAAGACAATTTGAAGTTACAACGGGCTTCAGATAACCAGACTCAAGCCCATATGCTACTAAGGTGGCAGTTAGGCAAACAGGTACCAGCACACATGGGAAGAATTATCTATCAAAATGCTAAGTAGAAAGCCATAATAGCCATATATGGAATGTCCAGTCCAACAAATCATAATCATTAAAGTTGTTTGGCTGCTGAGTAAAACATGAAATCAAGAAAGCTATGAACCTGATAGCGATCATCTATGAGTTGGGACATATCCCAGATTCAGGAACTGATACTCAGTAAAGAAGCCCTACCTAAACCTTTTGATAGGCAACCGACATGCAGAAAACTCATCTTGTAGACAGAAAAGCGTCCACATCCCTTAAACTACTAAAGAGTCCAAAGATAATGAAAAGATATAGGGATGCATTTAATCTAAGGCTATCATACTAAAGCTACAAATTAAAACCCCAGGGGATGGAAAGAGAAACATATAATAGCAACCAGTCCACAGCTACACACTATGATATGAAAACCAAGGGAAACAACATTTACATACCTCAGACATTATGATCCATGGAATGGCCCCAATCCCAAGAGAGAAAGAGATGACATAAGCCTGAGAGAATATAACTAGCTTAAATTACCACATTGCTAAAAAATACAAAAGAATATCATCCATGTTCCACAACCACAGACATACCACAAGTCCAACCAGTGAGAGAACACTCAGTATAAAGTTGAATTTAGAATCATGTGAAACAGCATCCTGCATATAGAAGAAAGCATAAAAAATCATAGAAATGTGAAGAGTCTAACCATGATCACCCAGACCATATTATACTCAAAAGGGTATAAAAATGTAAATATTGAGCATAGGAAAGTTAAAATTTTGTCCAAAACAGTATCATATAACAAACCTTCAAATAAAATGCGACAGCAACAATAAGAAGGCTAATAGTCATTCCGGCACTAGAAATCTGCAAAAGACCACCACTTATTCTTAGTTACTTGTCTTATGCCTACATGAACAGAGAAGAAGTATGCTTCTTCATAACTCACTATAAGGAGAAGTCGACGCCCAGCTCTGTCCAACAACCATGTGGTAACTCCAGTAGCAATGACCTGCATACTACACACTATCATCATTGAGCATAAACAAACAACCAATTCAAGTAAGTTTACAACAGGAGTTTCAGCATAGGTATGAATTTATATCAAGAATCCAAGTAATAACCTGAATGGCCCCAAGTCCGCATGTAGCAGCTTGGCTATTTGTAACTCCTGTTCAAGATACAAGAGTCCAACCATTAGTTTCTATCTTTTTTGGATAATACTTGAGATATTACAATGTGGTTTGCTTTCTACAAAAGTATCCATAAAAAATGTGTGTGTGTCTATATAGATAAGGGTAAATGGGGGCAGTTGCGTCACTGCATCCCCCAAACTGGTGTGAAAATGATGTGCAATCATTCCTTCCCTCTGATGGCTACACGAGAAATTAAGTGATCAATCCCCAAATGGCTCATTACATCTTACAAATAAGCCCCTAAATTGCTTACTACATTGTATGAATAACCCCTCTGCAGGTTGTAATTATTTAAAAGATGACAAGACCTAGTCATCTCTGTTTCTAACATAAATCTCGCACTCCTTGATTTGTAAAGAAAACCCCGATCCAAATCCAAAGCTAGAGCCTTTCTCAATATTATGGGATTATACCATAAGTTTTCCGCTTTAGTTGTTTTAAACATTCTCCTCATTCTATTGATGTCTAGATCTGATTTGATTAAATTGAGGAACTAAATTGAAAGGAGTCATTTCAGCGAAAAAATTTATAAGGATTTTGAATTTGTAATTGAAGACAAAAGAAGGCATCACCAATGAGAGCATTTGGTGGGTCATCAATATACAGTCTTGACGTGCCATCAAAAAGAAGATCATGTTAATCTAGTAAACTCCACTGAGATGGGTTTCACGTGTGATTTCTATCTACTTGATCGAGATGATTTCCTCAAGCATTCTTTTAATGGCCTAAATATTTTGGATTCTACAGCAAATTGCAACTACTTAATAAGTCAGTTTTTATTTAAAGAGAAGGGTTAAAAAGATTGATCAGAACTGGAGAAAACAAAAGAAAAAAGAAAGTAGGCATAAAAGAAAGGGGGGAGAAGGAACATGCACATTTACCTTGGAAAAGCAAACACCATTTTGTCCTGTACTATTTTGAAAAAACGAACGTATGCAGTTACATATCTCTATCCGACTTAATTTTTTGCAAAGAATGCATGCCATGTGTATACAACCCACTTAGGGGGCTGAAGTGCCGCACGCAGCCCCTTTACATATATATATATATATATATATATTTAGTATGCTGGTAGTGATGTGGTCACTTCTCACCCATCATTTAATGATGAGTAATCAACTAGAAACTATTTTTAAATGGACAACTTTAAATAAGTGGATGAGAAGCATTCCACATCACCCCAAAAGCATCAAATTTGTGCTTGTACCAAGGATACCCAATTTATAATATATTATATATATACTATTAATATATATAATAATGGAGAGAGAGAGAGAGGAGCGAGGAAATAATTGGTATGAGGATGAGGCTTAGTTTTGCTAAATAAGCTACGACTGGATAACCATGTGCGGAGATCCACCCTTTCTCATCAATCAAAAAGTGTGGGATCTCACCACTTCCATCTCTGATAGTTAATTTGCTAATTAAAGTCACCACCTCATAACGATCAATCCCATATTCTCAAGATGGTCCCCCCTTTGAAATGATAGCCCCTTATTTATCCAACCTATCGTGAATGTAGTCCTCCCTAAGGTGAATGGATAAGAATGAATTCACCTCACTTATCAGAAACACAGTTGTTTGCTTAATACTAATCGTAATATATATATTATATAATATATTATATTATATATATATATAAATATATAGGTAAAAGCTTATGTCAACTTAAGTGATTAGTGAATGATCATCACCAACTTTTCTATATCCTGTGATTATTACATTTGGGATCGTGATAAGATATGAATATCTTTTAAAGATTTATGCCATCTTTTTGATGCACAAATCTTGAGATAATATGAGTAGATATAAAATTTGGTGGACAAGGGTCCTCCTATCCAACTTAACCGTGAATTAAGAGTCTTTACTTATATATATATGATAAATATATTATATATATATATATATATATATATGGAGAAACTTGTTACAAGTTTCTCCATTTGAACTTGGTAGTGAGGTGGCTAATCCCCAACCCTACATCACACCCTAAGAGAAGCCTCACATCATATCACCTACTTTTAAAAATCATGCTCCATTTTAACATGTGATGTAGGGGTGATTTGGCACCTCACTACAAGTTCAGTGCAAAATTGTGGTACCAAAAAGTTTCTTACATATTTCGTCTGTCTGTCTGTTAGTTTATATAATTTATATATATTATATATATACTGTTAGTCTTATCACTATGTTATGTTATACCATGATTTTCTATGACTATTTATATCGTATATTATATAATAATATATGGTATGCTTGGTAGTTGGTACTAAGCATTTGGCTGCTTGCATAGAGCATGAGCATGAGCCGAGTAGTTCAAGCTCGTCGAACCAGTCGTAGGGTTCAGGCCGAGCCAGGTCTGACCCGGGCTCATACGGGTCAGATTGGATCGGGCCTACCCCTTTGATCCCGGGTCTGGGATTAGACCAACACAACCCACGACCCGCCTAGGGGCAAGCCGGACCAAAACCAACTCATGGCCTATATAGGTTGTGGGTCGGCCCATAGGTTTTTTCAATTTTTTTTCTATTTTTAACTTTTAAAACTATATTAAACTTGTATTTATGCTTATAAAATTATATTTTATTTATTTTTTCCTATTTCAAACTCTTAATTTAAAATGAAAAATGTGTAAATATGTCTGTGTTGCACAAAGATAAACATCACACAAAAACATTGCAAACATAGATATACGTAGTTCAAACATTATTGCGTTAGTCACTAGATTTGGTTAGTGGGCTTCTAGATCTAAAAAACTTATTTGTAGCTTAGTTTAAAAAATAAAATAAACATTCATAGCTGATCGGGCCATTAGTGGGCCGAGCCTAGTGCGCTAGGTCTAGCTCTTTGGTCCGGGGTCTGGATCAAAACCCAGCTCAACCTACGACCAGCCTTCAATGTGGACTAGGTGGAGCTGGGCCCAAGATAATCGGGTCAGGTTTTAACCCAAACCCGGCTGGGCCGATTCGACCTACGGTTTGAGTCAGCCCATGCCCAACCATACTTGATAGTGAGGTTGAGGAATCTCAACCATATATATGAATAAGATTAGTTGGATGGAAAATACACCCAATGTGATACATTTTCTCTTTATACTTTACAACCTTAGATGCGTGGTTAAGATGCATCCACCTCACTATCAAGCACCACATTTGTGCTTAAGGGTGGGCAACGGGATGAGCTGGCTCGTCCCGTGAGCCAACTCGCGTGAGCTTGGTGGCAGGATGAGATGGCCCATGACCGCGAGACAAGCGTGCCGTGTTGTATCGCTTGTTTGCAACCATTATAGAAATAAAAAATAATTTTATTAAGTAAAATTATATATTTGTATAGAATGATAGAGAGAAACATTGACATAGAGATTTTACGTAGTTCGGAGCAAGTCCTACTTCATAGTCGGTAACTAATTATTCCACTATTTTAATATGGGAATAAATTACAACAAACTTTAATCAAATAAAAATAGAGAAAATATGTCAACTTGTAAAAATAAAATCAATTGAAAAGGCTATAGAGATAATTGAGGGTAAATTACATTAAACGCTCATGAAGTTTAAGCATTTTGCATTAAAACCCCATGAACTTTCAAAATCACACTAAACCCTCAATAACTTTTTGGAATTGTAGAAAAGCTCTAATAACTTTTCGAGTTTTGTAGATAACCCAAATAAATTAGAACAAAAAAAAACACCCCAAAATAAAAGGTATTTTGAAAGTTAACGGGGGTCTAGTGTAACTTACCCAAAATATGTTATGGGTTTTCTACAAAAGTTATCGGGGGTTTAGTGTGAATTTGAAGTACATGGTGACATGGAGGCTTGACTGCAACTAGAAGTTCATGGGAGTATAGTGTAATTTATCCTAATTCATAATATCTTTAGGATATGCAAGCCAACGGAACAGGTTAAGCGGGCCAGCCTGCTTACATTTAGGCCCAACTCGCT